TACACGATTATGACATCTCGTATTAAATCAATTAACTTTAATTTATCAATTTATTGTTTAATTATTGTTTTTACGTTTGGTCTTAATCTATCCAGTGTATTATTTGATTATTGTATTTTTGCATGTTTTCATTTAAGAAGGTCGAATAGGTTTATGTGCTGATTTAATATTCATCTACATGTATAATGTACCCTACCCTATTTGAAGCGAATAAATGAATTATTATATATTCGAATACAACCGGACCGAAAGAATATTTTTCTAAGTATGCGGTCATTGTATTAATAATTATAAAGAGTATTTTCACAAAAAATAATTGAATATCATGGTGATGCACGACATTCAATAACACTTAATTGTATTTAAATAGATATTCTAAAATAATGCGGCTGTCTAATGGTCATTGTCGTAAACCTTTATATGAATTAATTGCAGTTTAGTCGATAATACTTACCTCTTAAACTCTAATATCGTAAAACAAAGACGAGGAAACTTTCGCAGACTAATATTTCATGTATAAACAGCAAGTGCACCTTATTAAAAATGCTCAAAGCCGCTTCCGCTTAAGTACCGCCAAGACGGCAGTCGCCCGAAGCTATTTACATAGAAATATCGGTGGAAAATTGAACAAGCAGAGCATATTTCCTTACAAATTTATCTAGATCCTCTGTCGTATTGTGTTGATCTTTTTATCTTTGTTCAACAACCCCGAAAAAGGTAGGTATTAGAATATTTTTGATGCGAAATGAAAATAATATAACTTGAAACGTTATTGAAAAATTTTTCGATTCGCTCTATACTTTTACGTTATAATTCTAAAGAAATTAGTTGTTCTGTAATTAATAACTTTAAATTAACAAGCAATTAACAATTTAGAAATAAAAATTAAATGCAACGAATAGCGACATCTCTAGCCGCGGCCGGTAGCTGTAAAGGTGTCTAACTGGGGTAACTGGTTCGTAGATTTCTCATAGATGGCGCTACGACAAAAAAGTCATAAAAAAGCAAAACAAAGTACTGCAACATACACATAGAGAAATTCGTGAGGTCCGCTGGTTCGTTCCGAGGCTTAGTCAAAGTCAAAGATCATTTATTCCATAGGTAAAATAAATTTACACTTGAAAACGTCAAATTAATTTTCATTTCATTAAATTAAGCTACTGCTCGTTCACTACGCTAACTTCTCTGAGAAGAACGAGCAAGAAACTCTAGGGATTACTCTTTTCAAATAAACTTAAATGCTATGGAATACACTTTGAATCAAATTTGTGTGGATTCTGGAGCCATGTCGTCTTTCCATACATCTTTATCTAACACGTAGTCTTCAATTTTGTAATATGACTTTTCAATCAAAATATTTTTAATGTAGTTTTTAAACTTACGAAATGATAATCTTAATATATGCTTCGGAAGCTTATTGTAAAAACGTATCCCCATAAAAGCTAAAAGAGTCGTTTAGCTTGGTTAAACGAAATCGTGGTACCATGAGTTTGGACTTAGCTCTAAGGTTAATATTATGAATACCTTCTTTCTTATTAAAATTATGTATATTTTTTATTTAGTTGGCATAGCGTCTGGCACGGTTTACTAAAAGGCGTCGGTTTGAATCCGGCCGGATGAAAGGATTTTTTTCTAAGTGTTCGACCTTTGTATTAATAATTATAACAATCATTTAGTGGTCATAAAAAAACAATAATGCCAAGTCTCTATAATCTCAGTACAGAGTACTAAAAAAACCGACCTCAAAACTTCGTAGAATTACGTCTATTTGCCAAGTTTTATTGAAATCGATTGAAATTGAAAATTACGCGAAACCGGATTCATCCCTTAATTTCCCACCCTTAGAGGCGGAATATTTTCTTCAAATTTAAATTGGACCATTATTGTGTAGGTACCCTCTTTCCAACAAAAAAGAATCATCAAAATCGGTTTACAAATGTGTAGACGTAAAGGAGTTATCGTGTAATATACATACAAAAAAAACATATATAAATAACTCCTCCTTTTTTTTGAAGTCGGTTAAAAATGGAATTTAATGTATTCAAAAATCAGTTCAAGGTCACTCTGCTTTAAGGTAGAGTTTATCAATAAATGTCAGTATATCGTGAAAAAATATTATTGGGTTATTTAAACTACATAAATTGTTTGCTTATTTATATTAAAATAAGAGAAAAAGCCGTGGTAGCGTAATGGTTTGACCTAACTCCCGCTCAAGTGGAAGCTGTGGATTCCAATTCGCGCTTGCATTTCTGAGTTTCTGGGAATTTAAGAGCGAAATTTAATTTGAAATTTATTATGAGCTTTTCGGTGGAAGAAAACAAAGTGATAAAACCTGCACGTCAGAGAAGTTTCACAACTCTTCGAAAACATGTGATGTGCCCAACCCGCATTGGGTCAACGTAGAGCATTATGGCCTAAACCATAGGTTCCCAAACATTTTGGCTCACCGCCCACTTAGGCAAGATAAAAAATTTCAACGTCCACCACCATAAAAAAATACTTGAAAACACGCTTTTACCACAATTTTTTTTACACAATTTTTATAGGAATGAAACTATTTTTCCGGATTTAAATCGCGTATATTTGTTTTTTCAAACATTTTCAACAATTTTCAACAATTTTTATATTAACTTATTACAAAAAATCACAAGGAAAATAATATGTAGTGTAGTTTATATAGATAATTCAAATTTCTCTTTTCAAATGTAACACACCCTAGACAGCATCAACGCCCCCCAATTGCTTCCGAGGCCCCTATCCTCCCGCTTAGGACTCTTCAGCGCCCGCTGGACCACCTTGGGAAACTATGGCCTAAACCCTCGCCTGAGAAGAGACCCGTGCCCAGTAGTGGAACGTATAAATTGGTTGATGATGTGCGCGAAAATATTATTGGCTTATTTAAACAGAAGGGTAATATTTCGTTTAGATATTCCGTAGAAAATTATATTAACAAAAAATAAACACTATATTGTCATATTAAATTTATTGTAACATGCTCCTAAACATGAATAACAGTAGCAACTGTAGCGAATATGAATGGATCGTATTTGAAATTGCATGAGGTTTATAAGAGTCATAGCAAAGAACGCCGCCCAAACCTTTTGCGGGAAATCGGGTAATAATATTTCCAAGCCCGTGAACAAAGAGGTTTTTGTCTGTTTGAAGTTCAGATGCATTGGAATTTGGTCGCGCAATATATGCGCACAATTTTCCTTTTCTTTTTTGTAAATAATAGTCAAAGAAGGAAATATGAACCAAAATATTACAAACCCTTGAACTTTTTTATGTTGCTTCTTCTATTATGTAAACTTAGCTTAACTGCCTCCGTGGCCGAACGGTTACCATGCCGGACTGCCACGCAGAGGTCCCAGGTTCGATTCCCGGGTCGGGAGAAATATTTTTGTATGACCTACATTTATTTATTTTATTCTCGTGAGTTTGAGTGTAATTTGTGATTGTCTATGTGTGTGTCCATGGCACCCGCGACACAGGGTTTCCCTAGTGCGGGGCTATGTTGAGTGTGTGTGTGTGCGTTATTAGAATAATATAAGAAGAATTAAAACTTAATTTAAAAGACGAACAGAAATCAGCTTGCAGAGGCTTATACCCATGTAGTATCTACTTACACACATATAGTACTTATTACAAACCAAACCGCAGACCGTGTCAGAAAGCTTACGGAGGGGCCCCTAAGTCACATAAAGCCCACAAACAACAAGGGAAAGGGACCTATTTGCCTATACGATATTTCATAGAGGGTTAATAATTAGCGAGGTTATATTTACCGACCGTTTTGGTAAAGGGTTGTAATAGAAGACATCATTTGATGGTAATGGGTAGCGAGAGGATATGGTGATTATGAAGATCATAAGATAATGACCACAGTTCACCTTTTTTAATAAGAAAACAATTGAAACTCAGGTTGTGCCGATATTCGTTAATTGCTTTTTCATCACACTTGGTCGTAAACAATGTCATGACATGCAGGCAAAGTCGACCGTAATGTCCTAAATTATATACACGGGCTTTTTCATCACATTATCGCCGATGTATATTTTACGTCAAGATTAAGCAAAAAGTTTTTATGCTCAAAAAATCTGAACTGATATTTCGCATAAACTTGAGACATAAAAAAAACTAAACATTTGCAATTTAATTCTATTTAACTAAATTTATTTTAGATTCTGCAGTATTTTTAGGTGATTATCACTAATATCAGGTTTCTTACCACAGTATGACTCCTTTTTATTTTCCCGATAATATTCCGGAACGGTTGCAAGCTCCATGGTCACGGGTTGACTCACACGGCAGTCAACCCGTGACCATGGAGCGTGCAACCGTTCCGAAATATCATCGGGAAAATAAAAAGAAGTCATACCGTGGTAAGAAACCTGATATTAGTGATAATCATTTAGTGAATACCCACGAAAGTCTTATTCACGAAATGATTATCATAAAATCTATATAGTATTTTTAGAATTCGGAAATTATTTATTTTATATCTAAAGCCTTCGGGCTTTTAACAAACTCTGGTTAATAATTTCTTATTTACCGCCCTTACACATACACGGTGTACTATTACTCAAACATTGTTCGTCTTAGTACGCTACTGTACTTATTTACACCTCTTAGCTCTTAATAGCGAGAACTCGCTATTAACCGCCTAAAATATTTACTTAGAGGCGTCTTGTAAGCATCCAGAGTGGAGGTGTATATGGCAGTGATTGTAGCAATACCGCACGAGTGCCTTCAGATTTGAATTCCACTTTTCATTTAACGTCAGCTGAAGTGGAGTCATCTGTAGCCTGTCACGTATAAAAAAAATAACCAATTATATAATACGTGTAGCGGTGACAAATACCCGCATAATAACAGCACAAATATTGTACATGGTTGATATAGCAGAGAAACAGATATATGATCGACGAAAAGATTAAAAACCAAGCATGACAGTAAATGTTTCTTTTATATTTTAACCACTCTTTTTCCATCTATTCCAGAGCCGCGAAAGTTTGTCTTCTGATGGCGAAGGTGCCCGAGGGGACTGTTCCTCCGTCGGCTCCTCAGGGTCGGGATCGGAAGAGCAACCTCCGTGCGACATCGGGCTGCTAGAGCGACTCATCAGAACACATCCAGTGTGGTTTTTGCCTGGCATACAGAGAGCCGGAGCCTTCCATCTACTACAGGGGAAAGAGGAAGGGGTAAGTTCTAAGAATATAATAGGTAATTCATTAGTTACCAAGCAGCCGCTTGAATTCATTAACCACGAAACTGATCTTTCTGTAATGTTTTTAATGTAAAATGTCAGTGTCTAGCCGTAATAATTTTATAATTTTGGTCATCGGAAAGGACCTGATGATGAAAACCGGTATTTTCTTTTCCAGAACTTTGTTGTCCGGCAGTCAAGTCAACCCGACACAATGGCGATCAGTGTGCGATTACCTGCCGACAAAGGGCCATACATCGAACACTACTTGATCCAAGCTTCTGGTGGCCGCATTGGACTTGAAACTTCTCACAACAGATTCAATAATATACCTGAATTGATAGCACATTACTCTCAATGTTGGTGAGTATTACACTTCATCAGCATCATCATCATAACATAAGCCTCCCCAAAATTTGGGTTTAAGCATAATGTATTGATTTTTTTAAATTACCTTTGATCGACAAATTACTCATCTACCTTGACTTCTCTAAAAACAACTGAGTTCTAATTGGCAGAGCTAATTAATAATTGACAGAGCATCTGGCGCGGATTGCCAGAGGGTGCTGGTTAGAATCCAGCCGGATGGAATCAATTTTTCTTAGTCTTTCGATCTTTGTTATAATAATTATAACAAACTAGTGGAGTAATTTCACAAAAATAATAGTCATTTGAATATAATGGTAGTAAAACATCGTGACTTTTAATAAATATAAAAGTTACAACTATTATTTTTTTAATTTCCAGTGATGAGTTACCAGTCCAGTTGCAACTTCCTCGTCCGCTACGTGAAGCGAAGAGCCGTCATCAACTGAATTCCCTAGCTTTACTCGGTCAAGAATTTTGGGGTTACCCAATGGCAAACCCAAAAAACAGCTCGCAGAATCTCCTCTCCCCATGTCAATTAGCTAACGATGTAGTGCCTATGGCAGTCACTCCTTCTGACACCGGATCTAGTCTAAGCAGTTTCAATGCGAGTGAGTATTTAACAAGCATTATTTAAAACATATACTTCGTTCGTGACACCAGGGAAACCTGAATTTGAATGTTTCTTTTTAGGTACCGGAACAATCACCAAAGATAATGTTCTCAGCCCAGAAAAAGATCAAAATGTTGTGCTAAAGATGTCACCCATAGAAACATCGGGTTCCCCACCGAAACAAAACCAGAACCTTAGCACATTTAAAGGCAGGGTTGGACCATCTCCACCAGCAAAACCTACCGGAGGATTTATTAGAGCACCTAGACCAATCCCACCAAATACGCTAAACCTTTTGTCTAGTACCGTAAGTATTTTAATGTAATTTGAGGGTGTCCGTAACCTTGTGATGGCACATTTTGATTTGGCGTTAATGTTGGCATCACCTGTTTTTTCAGGCTCATATAACGCAACCTCATTCATTCCCTACCACCAACACTATTTCCAATACGCAGCATTCTCCTACCCAAATCATCAAAACAACACCACCACCCCCACCACCGAGATGGGCCAAACCACCATTCTCGAAAAACCCATTATCACCCCAATCCGAAATCCAAGCGTTCAGCCCAATTAACAAAACTCCACCGAACGGAAATATAACCGTAACCACGACAGTCACGTTCAGTGTCAATAACACACAAATTCACAATCACCAAATAAATGAGAGCATACAAAGCGATCGGCTACAACTAACGCTTCCATCTAATGCCATCAACAATAATGGCTGCGTAGACATGTTCAATATTATGGGATCAGCAAAGAACCTTGCTGATTCCAATGACGAGACACAGGTAAGAATTTTGCTAAACTAAGTGCACGCTTAATTTGTTTGTGATCATTTGAGTGCTTGTTGTTCATGTTGTCTGTTACCGAATTGCATGTGAATTAACATTTACGTAATTAATCAACAAAAAAACATTAAAGTGACATTTATTCCTCTTCCCATATAGAACTTGATGCATCGTATGTCACCTGAGGGAGAGTGCATCAATGCAATGACAGCTAGTTTGCACGGCAGCTTCAAAAGAAAAGTAACTGATCAAAATCTCACCGAAGTTGGATCACCGATCGATCTACAGTCTCAGGCAAACACATCAGAATCTGCTGATCCTATTGTAAACAGTCTTACTAAATCAAGTAACAGTTTTGGGCCTAATCAGTTGGTATCACCCAACGGTACTAACTCAGTAACTAGTGGTATATTTTCCCCAACAAGTCAGATCAATTCTCCCGTATCTAACGACACAATTTCTTCTAAAAGCGGTGTCTTTTCGCCTTTAAGTCAAACTAACAAGAGTGAAATTTTCTCACCTATATCGAGAAGTTCACCTATATCAGGCAAAAGCGTATTCTCTCCTACTTCGAATCAGTCCATTGTGTCTCCTATGCTGGGTAAAGATAGAGAGAAATTGTTGTCCCCTATTACGAACACGACGAGTTCTACGCCATCTGGTAGATCGAGGAGGAGTCGACACTCCCAACGAAAGGAGTCCAGGCATTATCAGGTAGGAAAGGGTGATGTAATTCTATTTCACTTATATGTTCCTACCCAAATTATGGATATGTTATATCATCACTAACCGCACGACATAATGATTGTACAGTTTTAAAACAATGGAATGTTTGAATGTAATAATTTATACTTTATAGAAGTTATAGCAATCGGTTCTTTCTGAAATGAATGACCTTTTATAATATTGTGCACTGTATAATAATTCCTTTTTTTAATAGTAATGCTGATTCGTTCTTACAAAAATATAATTATTTTTACAGGAATCAGATATCCTAGAATCTCCAGGAGTGTATTACCGCAGTTCGTTAGTGGACAAAGTATCAGATTATGAAGATATTTGGGGCCCAGAAAGCAATAATTGTTCCACCTTCAAACCTATGAAAACCGAAAATGATAGTAGTATAAGTAATGGTTTTATGAAAAGTAAGAGACCAGATCTTTTGCCAGACACACTGCGTAAGTTAAAATTATTGTACTCCAATTCTTGATTTCAACTCATACAGTTTTATTTCGAGCTTTACATATCATATCATTATGTCTGTCATTCCAGCGAAACTAAATGCAGCCAAAAGTGCGCAATCCATCCTCGAAAAGGAAAACTTGCATATACTAAATTCAAACGAAAGCTTGAATGAAAAGAAAAATTTCTCCGATGGCTCTTTGAAGAAGAGCTTTAGTGGTTCAAATGAAATTATTGCAACTACAAATAGTAAAGGAGAAATTATACCAAAGAGGCCAGACAAACTTAATATTTCAATGAATATGAATAAAAAACTCACGGAAGAAATTAAAACTGCATTTAAAAATAGGGAAAATCATAATATTGAAAGTATGGAGACTGTGAAACTTGAAGATGATTGTATTAAGGATTGTAACGGTGATGACTCTGAAAAAGATAATGCTGGAAGTCCTTTTTACGCTGACCCAGTGGATACTCTCAAAGAAGTAAGTACAAGAAGTCTTTAGTCGTAAAATTCACAACCGTGTTTTTAAACAGCTTTCGTTCGTTGCATAAGAGGGTTCTTAAAGTCGAGTTTTCTGTGTACGGAACTATAATAAAATTTTTAAGTTCAGTAGAGAGCACCATAGACAATAGAATTTTGATTCAGAACTAAACAGAGTGCCTTTGTGATATGGTTTATATGAAATTATAATTGACAGATTAAAATACCGGAGTAGAAAAACATAACTATTTAGTAACATTGATTTTGATGTATTGTTTGCAAATAATGTTATTTTCATATTTTCAGGCTGGCCTACCACCCGTACAGAGACGCAAGCTAATAAGAGTCGGAGTGAGTTTGTCACAAAGATACTCAGAGCCACCGAATCAAAATCATCCCTATTACCCTCTGAGAGATATGCACAGCATAGAAGAGCTTTCACGTAAGAATTATTTTTAAACTTTTTCAAGATAACATGTATAAGGCCTATACTTTCATGTTATTATTTCATAGTCTACAACTAACTTAATAGGGAATTGTAATCAATTTTATGTACGCAATAAGTGATAGATATTTATCATATTGATATTTATTAAAAAGCCGTGCTAGCCTAATGATGACCTACCGCCTCACGAGCAGAGACCGTGGGTTCGAATTGAGGTTCACATGTATGAGCTTATCGATATTTATGTGCGAAATTTAATTGACTTTGATTTGATTGAAATGACATTATATACTCTTTTACACAGCGTCTTCCCCCAACACATCTACATCAGTCGATAACCTGGTATCGCTTCGAAACAAGCCAAAAATAAAGCCGGTTCAGCCTCCTCGCATCGCCAACAAGCCCCCCACAGGCAAGAACGACCAGACTTGGACCGTGGACTCTAGTTGGGAGTTCATAAGTCAGTGTTGCATTGGTGCTATGGCCATTATTTAATTTGGCGTAATTTAATTCAGCCTAATTCAAAATTTTATCATGCATCTATTTTTCTTTCCACTTACGCTTGAAATCTCGTAGATATACTTATGAATATACGAGTACCTATAGGTTGTTTAATACCTTGTTTGTTGTGTGCACTTATTGCATCAAATTCATTAATAACTTCTAATTTCAAGGGATTCGGATACTTATCCGAAAGATATTTAAAAATAATCAATTTACACAACGCCGCGTCTTTTTTTCGTTAATTTGTAACATGAAGTGTCGAAATTTATCCTGTCGACCATCATAAGTCTTAAAATATCTTTTGGACATAAGTACAAAATACAGCTTCAAATATTTCACTAACTACATAACAATGGTCGCAATTCATCATCTTCGGTGCTTATTTGTTTGTCTCGTTTCCTTTATACACTTAATTACATTCAATAATTACTTTTTGCTTTATGATATAAATGGCATGTCTACTAAAGACGTGATTCATTTGTTTGTTTAGGCAAAAATGAAGAATGTTCGAATAGTGAGAGCGGTACGTTCCCATCACTAGCTGAACAAGAAACAAGACTGAGCAGTGTGGAAGATACGGTGCAGCATTTATCCATACATCAAGTTGTCGCACAAAGGTAGGTTAAGAATTAGCCCGACAAATGCTAAGCGGAGACCATTTTGAATTTCAATGCTGCAATATGCGCTATCTATTAGGCTTTATTTTATATTTGTTGTAAAAAGAGATACCACTTTCTTTGTTTTTTTCTAAACCGACTATCATCCATATTGACAAAATTGAAAGCGTTGTTCCATTGAGTAGAAATTGTAAATTCAGCCAGTATCAAAGTTACCTTTTCAAGCAAGTTCATCAAAAGATCCTTATTCTTTGAAGAACAGCTTCTCAAAACGGCAATTTGTCTAGAAGTTACATTCTCGGCACTGTAATTTGTCAAAAGATTTATTGTTGTATACTTAGATACAAAAAAAGGGTACATAATTATGTACATCATCCAAAATTTTGAAATTTACACATAAACAACAGTATGTCAATGATTTGAATAATAATGTTTTCTTTGTTTTCAGTTTAAAATTAAGGTACACGTGAAAGTCATTGTTATGAGGTTGATATTTGTAAAACATGCCATATTTTGAAGTCTGTGAATATATAGGTCTTTTTATATTGTTGATAAAAGTGATCCGAACCATGGAATGCCTAAATTAACATCATTGTTTTTGACAATAGGTTTCCGGAACTACGACTGAACTCGGATCCAGTAGCCTTGCCTGAAGAAGTGCGATCGCCACCAAGAGCGTCGTGCTACGATAATGTACACGATTTAAGACCAGTCTCCGAGCAGGTAAAGTCCTCAATTTTATATTGTGTTCTTAGGTTCTTGAGTAATGCCATCTTACTATTTCTACCGTCAAGCAGTCATGTGTGCATTACGTCATTTTGGTTTTGAAGGGTAAGGTACTGGTGAAATCACAGGCACATGGGACTTATCACCTTATGTCGCAGGGTGAAGGGCGCAGTGGCAGTGCCCTTCAAGTTTTTGCGATTTAAAGTTCGGAGTGGTTCTGCAATTGTCATGCGTAGGCGTATCGCTTATCACGAGGCGCCGACTTGTCGGTCTAATCAATATCGCTTGATATCATAAAAATAAAAAGATTTTTGAGAGTGCTGCATATTGGAAAATGGAAGCACTGTTTCGGATCTAAATATCTGACTGTCGTGACCACGGGACCTTCAAAAAGCCTGAAACGTTGATTTGAAAAAACAAATAGGTACACGATTTTGATCCGAAAAAACGGTTTCATTTTGTTCAATTTTATATCTGTATTTATTTTACATAAAACAGTTTCCCCAGAGCGTGTCTTGCCGTCTATAATATTTATGCACTTCTGTGAATAACATGGGTTAGTATTATTTTTTAAACCAATAAACCTTTTTAAATAAAATAAATTCCGATTAGAAAAAATTCTTTAAATTGGATATGTACCTAACTATTTTTTCGGTGTCCATCACAGTCAGCCTGACTAACTATAAAGAGCGCAAACTATAATTTGTTCGAAAAAAAATTTTTTTTTTCGGTCATTTTTCATTTCTTTTCGCTTATTATACCTACGCTTTTTTACATCCAAAAATAAAGTTTCATTTCCAATGTGTAGTCATCGCGAGAATCTAAGAACTCGACAGTTCTTTAAAGAAAAAGATCCGAATTTAATACCACAATTTTACCTGTCATCTTGTACGTAGGTATTTTGAGAAACCCAAATGGCATTTATACTTGTGTACCTACTCAGGCCAACCCTGAAACGAATACATTCATCAAATTTTCGTAATATAAAGCCCACGCTAAGTGCTCTTTGAACTGATAAAATAATAATCAATGTCCTATTTTATTCACGACAATTAATTAAAGCAGTGCATATTTTATGTTTCACAAATATAACTCAATAACAGCTTAAATACTAGGCCGAGGACCGGCTAAGTAAACGGATAAAACTGACAGAGTACCCTAATTAATGTTAGTAACGTGCACTCTTTTTTCAAAATATGTAATATATATGTAATTTTTTTAAATATGTAATAGACACACGTTTTGCGACTATCGCACCTGATGCTAAGCGCGAGGCATGGGAAACAAACGGACACGGGTACAAAAAATCTTATTCATTCTAACCTTGAATATATGTACCTAAATTGTACTTTTCGAGAAAAAAAATTTAATTAATGTCAATCTTTTCTCCATAGTCACAAGGATTTTTTTTTTGTTTTATTGTAAATTGAGTAATTTTCGTCCCGATAAATATATATTTTTAGAGGATGAATATAAAAAATCACAGCCGTGGTAGCATAACGCTTTGACCTACCGCTTCTCAAGCAGACGCTCGTAGGTTCGAATCCGGGCATGCACTGAGTTTTCGGAATTTATTTGCAAAATTTTGAGCGTTTGGTGAAGGAAAACATCGTGAGGAAACCTGCAAAGCTATTTAATGATGTGTATGTAGTTCCCACTCTGCACTGAGCCCGCGTGGGAACGCGGCGAACGAACATGCGTGCATCAGCAAATCAGCAACAATCCTGGTGTGTACCATTCCTTTACCCTAACCATTGGGAAGAAGGAAGGAAAGCGTTTCGTGCGTATGTGCGATAAGGTACATCGACTGTATAATATATGGCCAGGCTACGTTTTGCCAGATAGTAGCCCGTCCTAGAGTCTCCCATCCGGTCTATTAACACGTTCATTGGGCCCGTGGGGGGTTAAAATGACGTACTCTGCCCGACATTGCGACCGGCGCGGCCTAAACGTAATAATTATTGCATTTAGGCCGCGCCGATAAATATAAATAATTAATATTAATAATATAATCCCATCAAATCCCAAACTTGAGCCAATTCATATACGTATATAAATGAGACCAAAAACAATCATATAAGCCACTGTCATATTTGAAAATTCCAGTCGACGACGAACGTGTTAATATTGTAGAAGAACTGAGATGCCAGTGCATCTCACAGAAAGTTATTGTAAATTACGTCCTGTGACTTTTTAAGTTACTTAAAATAGATTTTAATTACTTTTACCCAACTTTTTTTCAGGCAAGTGATGATGGAACCGTGTTCTCTGAGCCTTGGGACAGCTCACAGTGGGATGGGCTGTTACCACCTTCCGTTGGCCTACAAATTGACGACAATGTAAGTATTAAGACCATGCCGCACATTACACTATCAGTTTATAGAAACACGATAAAAGAATAACATTACGTTTTTGTAAAAAAAAAACAACCGCTTTGTTAGTTACCGCGGTTTCATCAACGAGAACTGAGACCACAGAACAATAAATACAGTAGAAATGGTTAGTTAGCGTCTGACGCGTGCCAACGATCTCGAAAAACCTATCTGTCCGCCATTTTCGCTTTGTATGGTACGGTTGTGTGATTCTTTCGTGCAAATTCTCTAAAATCCTAGAAAAATGCCTTATTGTGCTGTTATGGAGTGCAAAAATAATAGCAGTACCAAAAAAATTACCCGTGGCGGTATTTCGTATCATCGGAAAGTCTTATTTTGATAAATACTCAATTTTTTGTTAATCAAAATATTTTTTGTTTGAAAGTGAAGCTTATACCCCTGCAATATGGTCGCTTCTTGTTTGGAGAACTAAATTAATAACTCCATGTCGTCATTCAAAATTTCAATATATATATCAAAACGTCGTAACTTGTAATAAAGATGTTGATGGTATTGAACTTTTAACGATATGCCAACAGAATAAAGTTTAAATTATATTAACTATCCAGAATTTGTAATTTCTTTAAAATTTGAAACTACGACCAATCAATATCAAGATTTTGTAGTGTTTCAAATTTAGAATGTGTGAGTTTTGGCGACTCAACGAAGGCGCGTCAAATTTGGCGTGTGACATAGTTACAGGTGATGGAACATGAGTTTATAGTTACGATCCCAAAACAAAGCAGCAATCGAGCGTATCGGTCTTTCGAGATGAGCCGAAACCAACCAAAGTGGCGCGCGTGCAAAGTGCCTCTAAGCGGATGATTGCTTCTTTTTTTAATAAAACTGGACACGTGGCTACTGTTGCTTTGGAGAAACGTTGTACCGTGAATAGTTATTAGTACACGATCATTTGTTTGCTGGAAGTTATTGACAAACTCTGAAAAATAACCGTAAACGCCGTATCATCTTGCATCACAAGACAAATGAATTTTTGAAGGTGAACAACGTTGATCTTATGAGCCATCCTGCGTACAGTCCCGACCTGGCACTTTGTGACTTTTATTTATTTCCAAAAATTAAGAACCAGTTACGTGGTCAACGATTTTGATCATCTGAAGAGGCGAAGAGTATGAAGAATATGTTTCAGAGATTGTCACAGAGGAGTGGCATAAACCTTTTCAAAATTGGTTCATTCGTATGAAAAAGTGCATTAACCTTCCAGTGGTCGCGCGCGGTCTCAGGGACAGCAGCGACCTTATTTTACTCATTTTACAAAAACTATAAACCATAGATAGTTGAGCGACCTTGATATCTTGGAGGAGATGAGGTACTTCTCCCTAGTAGCCCTGTGACATTCTTCGCAAGCGCACATGTGTCTTTATTTATGTTTGCGGTCTCAGATTCCGCGCGCGACCGGTCGTGTGCCAAAAAAATTCATGGAATGAAATTGATACCTGGGTGAGTATTTCATGTTATTTGTACTATATTATTTAATAAAATTGATGTTAATTGTTGTCTATCTATACAATTCAAATTTTGCTATTGACGCTCTGATTAACTTTCCTGTATCTGAAAGGTTGTCTGGAAGAGATGGCTCTTAGCGATAAGTCCGCCTTTGCCCACATTAATTGCTATCTATGTAGGTACTGTTGTTGTTCTTGTGTTTGAGCAAGAAAGTGTATATCTCTCTACCTACGTATATTACAAAAGTACATTATTTTGTGTAATATTATATTCAATTATTTTTTATTACACTATTTGTTATAGACAATGAGTTACGATGAATCAGAACGGCTTGCAGAGGAGGCGGAAACAGAAGATGAAGATGAAGATTTGATTATGTGAAACCATTGATACTGATAAGGAGTACGTTGTCGTAGTACAGTCAAAAGCACGTCAAGCTTGACACTTTCTATTTGGATTGTACTTATTTAAATTACATTTATAAATAATTGTGCTTTTAGAGTTCCTACAAAATTGTGCAGTTATTATTGATAATAATTTTGAATAGTCTTAGTAATAATTATGATGTCTATTAACGATTAAGATAGAAAATTTCATATCGTTTTGTTATTTTCTTGTTTCTAACGTTGTTTTGTGTCATATGACTAAAATTTTGAATTTTTGTTTTGATTAATAAGTACAAATTAAAAAAATAATAGGTAAATAATGTTTTTTATTTCTATTTATATAGACAAAGGACTTATTTTTATTATGTGCTGTACAACGTCATGATGATATTCATTTGTCTTCTCAAACTGAACGCGCAAAGTTGCGATCTCGCAGACCGCGCGCGACTGTTTATGTTCGTCGCAAGGGTGCGACCACTGGAAGGTTAACGCTAACAGAGAATATTTTGAGAAACTATAAATTCATTTCTGACCATTTATAGTATTTTTTTCTTATTCATTCCGGAAACTTATAGTGCGCCCCACGTATACGACTAGCTTAGTAGTAGTGGCTTTGTGTATACTCGTGTAAGATCGTTTGTCCTAAATACCAATGCTCGAAACAATATTGACATGGATATTTCTATTTGTTATCAGGACGAGCCATGCGAGTGGGAGTCTCCGATACCACGCCGGGGGCCTGTCGCTGCGACCAGAGCTAAGAGCTTCCGGGATCGCTTGGATCCGTTACTTGGTAAGTCTATTTCTGCCTGTAGAAGCATTTTTTATGCTACGATATAACATTGTGTACGTCGCCTTACTTTCTCAACCTCGTATCCTATAAAGAGTGATTGATCATTCAGGAGACGGCAAAACTTTCTATTTATTTTAAATTTCTTATCGAGGGTTAATTTGGATGCATTACTTTAACAACAGGTAATAGCCAGTGCGTGAATCAGACTGCAACATTTGTATATACAATCGATTTTTTGCATTTCAGTAACTTTGTGCTTTAAGATGCGAATTTGAGAAAGTAAGGCGACGTTAAGTTATATACGTACATTTTATGTGTGACACGGCAATCACAGTTTTCTACACATTTAACTTATTGGTATTCATTTATTGCATTTTGTATGGAAGGTACAGGTAGGCTTTGAAAAGAGAGACGTGCGAATTTAAACATTCTCTTTTTAGAAATAATAATATTTTATACAATCGTTGCATAATGAGGGTTCTTAAAGTCGCATACCTAAGTAATATATACAAGTTTTGAAGACATAATTATATATTGATTGCATACAATACTTTTTCTACGAGTAAATTAAAATAATGAAACACAATCAATATTTCAAGATTATTTGTCAACGATCCACAACAACAAACTGAAACGAAAACCAAATAAACGCTACAAAACAAAAACCAAAGAGATAGAATAGAAATGTCTGGGTAAAATTGACCAAGTACCGCTTAAATTTTAACCAATCAGGAAGCTATAGAGCGTTTAAGTAGCGTTATTTGATATCTTATATTGTTCTTAAATAGTTCGTTTTTGCCAAATAGTTCTTTTTTACGCCTTTGTAGTTGTTATGTAACTTTTTGAGATATTACTTAATAAAAGAATTAGTAGCAGTAGAGCTCCTTGTGCAAGACTTCGTCCAGGGAACCTTACCTACTTTAGTTCAGTAACGAGTACCATAGATATTGAGTATATATAATCAGAAATAGAGACGAAATGTCATTTAATTTGTTTGAAAACTATTCGGACTAATAATTACTGTGACAACTGCCCTCTGATTGACCAGCCCGAATTCGAAACAATCGACGGGTGTCGTCAATTGTTTCACTTCAAATTGACCAGTTTAACTTGAGCTTTGCTATAATGAACGAAAATTGTAAAATTACATATTTAATTACCGATGAAAATGTGATTCCGTTTGTTTTGTAATTAGATGTTTTGCTGTTTTTCCCACACCACCGAATGGAAAGTTAAAGATATTATCTATAATACAATAAATACACAATATTTTTGTAATGTACAGAGACGTACACACAGGTCAGTTGTTGACGCTGTTCTATTTGAGTTTTCTAATTTGTGATTTCAGCGCAAAAGAGAGTTGATATTTAAAAGCGGTATAAGCTCATTTACCTGATGATGACCATTTGCCAGGGATGGGAAGCCCTTATTTCGTCTCTATTTCTGGTTATAAATTGTAAAATTTGGTACATTTTAAACTTGAACGTAATTAGATGCTATAAATACACGTGTCGTGCATATAAACACACGGAATTAGACCGAGAGAGGCGGTCCCGATACGACACGCGTCCGACCCGCACCCGCTCTTTGTGTGTTTCTCGCTTAAAGCAAAAGTGCAACATGCCTTTTGAATATTCCTTGTGCAAGATTTTTCTAAAGCACTAATAACTACTAAGTAGACATCAGCTACACATGTAAAAGTAACATGAATTGACCTCGTGATTGAAAATTACCCAACAAACATAGTACAATGTACACCTTGTTATCACTCCCATTGTTAATGTTAATCGTATCAATGACATGTTTAACGGCAATTTGATTTGAATTATAAATACACAAAATGTACACTCACGCGTGTGGTCTTATATTTTCAGTACAAAGTAACAAAGATAACGCGTAAGGAATTTATAATTTTAAGATATGCTGTTGTCTCTACACCTACATATTTTGCCTAACACGGTTCACCTTGTTCAACTATGATCTCATTATTCGTATTATCTTGTAGTTGATCTAAGCCTACTAAGCATAAATATTTACTTAATTAAATGCCCTGATTTAAACAAGTCTCGACGTAGTTTCACATCTGCATGAGAAATGACTCACTAACGTCACAATCAAATCAATTAACATACTTAGTACATCAATACAATGGCACCGCGGCGCACATTTCTTATCTTTCTAACATTAGTCTGTAAATAAATTAATTATTATTAAAGGTTAAAGGTCTGCGCGTGCGGTGTATAACTTTAACTCTGAGTACTGACACGGCACGAGAGCTACCATCAGTCGCAATCGAGCGCGCGGTTCACTAGTGCCTATTTTCGTGTGAATGGGAAACTCTCGTTTTAAATCGTTTGTGCAAGCGGGCAGAAACCGCAAAAAAATTAGTCATGAAGTGGTTCAAAAGGTTGTTCCAAGAAAAGTGCGAGAAGCAGATTGAAGTAAAACCCAGTACCAGCAAATTAGATCCTTTGCTAGGCAAATTCGACTCTCTCTCGAATTTCACGATATCCGTGAACCCTGACCAAGCAGAAGAAGTATTGGAGACTCCGCACGTACAATGTGACGAAGTATGTGCTTTGACAACAATAAAGAACTTCAGAGCAGACACTTTGGACGAATTTGTTTTTGAAAGCGACTGGGTGTTTCTCGATCGCCACAAGTTACTTGAGCCCAGATTTCAACAACATTTAGCAAAGTCTGATTCTTTGACAGCGTTATGCAAGATGCTGGCTAAAAAAAACTTAAACAAGATTCGAGCTGAAGTTGTTGCAAGGTCTCCTTGTTGTCATTGCAAATATTTAAAATCCCAAGAAAGCGAAATTAAACCACGACTAAATACATTTTCCAGATTTGTAAACGCAGTCGGAAGGTTTTTTAAACGCCTGTGCAGTAGATTTAAAAACTGTATCATGTGTAAGAAAAGAATAAGAACACATTCTAGTCAAAATATTAAAATAGAAAGTGATCGTCAAAACTTCACAAAAAATTATTTATGTAGGTAATATTTATTCATTCAGTCCTTTGTTATGTATTATGCCAAAGCAGTAACTAAAACAAGGGTTGTGCATGCTCTACTCATCACAAAAAATTACCGATGTAAATACTAAGTAAAGTCTTTCTTCCTCAACAGCTGCAGGTAGAGTTCGAGCGCTTCGTGGAGGAAGGACGTCGAGAGGCGCAGGTGCAGCATTGAGAGCATACGCATTGCATCTTGCACAAGACAAGAGTACCACCTTTGCGCAAAACATCGACAACTTTATTGCATGCACTTTGGACTCGAAGGAGGCTTGCCCACAGGTAAAAATATCATGATATCCGAGTTATTTATGCACGCGTAGCAATCATTAGATTCAATATTTGTTTAATACTGATTGCGGGATACAGTCACAACCATTCATTCATAACAAAAAAGTTACAAGTCACAAAAATTGAACAATAACGAATAATCAAATAAATTTACGAGAAATAATTAATACGATAATTAAATCTTAATAATAATAAAAATGAGCTACACAAAAACAATAATAAAAAAATAAAAATATCATCAATTACATTACAATAACGTCAAATTACTAACAATAAATTAATAGCATGACACAATACTATAATCAAACGTGTAGAGTGATTGTACAACAAGCCACGTTTTTAGGAGAAATGTGAAAGAACTCCTTTATGGTGCACTTCGCACGTTATCTCGTAACCGGTTGTAGACCGCCGGTACCATCACATGCACTGGTTTGGACGTTTTGCCAGCCGCCGCGGTATAGCCTGCAGATATTGAGAGCGATATTGTCTCATGTCGCATGCATATCCATCTCCGAACCTGGAGTACTCCAAGTGGTCTCTGGCATATAAAATATATGGTTCCAGTATTACGTATACTCTATCTTACACGTGTGGCTTATTTATTTATCTATTACAAGAGTGTGCTCTTCGCAAATAGTAATGTTTATTGCTCTAATTATATATAATATTTACAATATTGCAGGTGGTGATGCGCAACATGAGACAATTTATGTCTGGTATGAAGAATTATTTGGTTAAACATGGCGAAAGGGAGTTTGAGAAGGAAGTCGAAAAGGAAAGGCTCAAGGTATGATAGTTTATTTTTTCTTCTTTCTTCCGTGACAGTGACGAAAACTTGTAAAAATTGGAGTTGAATTTTATTGTTGAAAAGTGAATTTCTCTTAAATGCGAGCGATGGACATTCAAGCAACATTTGAAATTACTACATTTTTTTCTGATAACGGTACTTTACCACCTCTTTTAACTCTTTATTTTGAAACAGAATACATGGTTCTCAATTTTCTCCACAGCTAAAGTCAACTGAGTTCCTGAATATAGACGCAATTTTAGAAGGTGTGATGCATCGGCTGGTAGTTCGACCGCTGCGTTCACGGCTATATACTCTTCTAGCATCATGGCATGCTGCTGATATAAGAAGACTACATGCGGCTATAGAAAGAGCACAGCATGCGACGCCTTTGCAGCTAGGAGTCAAGGTAATTGAATAAATTTTCGAAGTAATGATCTGAGACTGAAAAATATTTGTATTGTTCTATAGGCGGGAAAAATCTTGTTGGCTCTGACTGGAGTATGTTATAGTAGTAAGCATGTACCTAAGCATAATCAGCTTTTTTTTTTTCATTTTAACAGGAATCCACAAAAGTACCATCGTCAGCAGTCTTAGCAGTGATCTCAAAACATTTCCTGAAGATGCAAGAGGCTGACTCTCCATTGGATAAGCTTGAAAATCTTCTTGCTGCCATTTCAGTCATGTTCAACTCAGTAAGTTCATATTTCTGTTTACACCTACCGTCGTACTGTTTGTACATTTTTCCCTTGGATAATCAGATACATCTTTCTGTGGTAATTTTTTGTGGTCGCTTCAATTTTGACACCATTTTTTGTCTTAGATCTCTGAATAACCAATTGTAGTCAACACTTTATAACCATGTTGATATTCCTGCCATTTTCAACAAAATCATCTTTCAACAGATTCGTGGCGAACGAGCTCTAGGAGCGGACGATCTGCTCCCAGTTCTAGCATGGACGGTAGCTCGAAGCCGTCTTGTCTGCGCGGAGTTGGAAGCAGAACTGATGGCGGGGCTGCTTCCTGCGGCTCTGTTAGCCGGGGAGGGAGGGTATTACCTTACTGCCTTGTTCTCTGCCGTCGCCGTATTAAAGAGGCTCGCCCCTGACTCTGGGCCTGATAGTACTTCTCCTGTAAGTGTCATGATTATTTTATATCATTATTTTCATATTCATTTCTTAAAATTAATATTATCTTTTTTAACCGACCTCAAAAAAGGAGTATGTTCTCAATTCAATTGTATGTTTTTTGTATGTACGTTACGCGATAAGTCCGGCTTCAGGTTTGTAAACAGATTTTATGATTCTTTTTTTGTTGGAAAAAGGGTATCTCAGTAGTGGTCCCATTTTTATTTGAAGAAAATATTCCACCTCTCAGGGTGGCAAACTAGGGACGAATCCTGTTTCGTGTACTTTCCGGTAACCGGTTTCAATAAAACTTGGCAAATAGATGTAATTCCTCGAATTTTTGAGATAATTTTTTTAGTACTCTACTGAGATTATAATAAAAAAATATCGACTTTAAGAGTTTGTGGAATTACATCTATTTGCCAAGTTTAGCGGAAAGTGGGTGACATTCAATGAGCCAGATTCATCCCCTAATTTGCCACCCTACGTGGTAGAAGATTTTCTTTAAATTTGAACGGGACTTCTACCGAGATACTCTCTTTTCAACAAAAAATAATCATCGAAGTCAGTACACAAGTATCCGAGTAATCTCATTACACACACAAAGAAAGGAAGTACAGTTTTATCCAGAACCTCCACCTTATTTGAAGTCGTTTTAAAATGACCTTTTGGTTTTCATAGTGACTGTCTCTACACAGTGCTCGTATGAACGCGATTAATTTATTGTTATAAGCAAATATCAAAATAAAATAAAACTGTACACCTTCTAAACCTGCAATTTTCTCTCTCAGCAATGGCGTCGTGGTTCAATAGAGGGCAACCGCGACGGGTGTCCTATAGCTGTAGTTCGTGTGGCTCTACCAGATGAGTGCAGAGGGTCCATTCGCAGAGTGGCCTTGCCTTGTCGCCCTGGAGCCAGAGCCAGGGACCTGTGCCGTGCCCTGGCTCATGCAGCAGCCATCACAAATCCGCAAGATTATGCCCTGTTCGCTTTACACGATGGACATGGTAAATATTTACCATTCTCTTCAAGATAATTGTCAGATAATGTATGTATTCAATGTTTGAGATGAACAGATCCGTTCAAAGATCAGAGCAGTAATTAGCTTGGAAAATATCATTTGAAGTTCACAGAGATTTTGTTATGCAAAGCTGCAAATTAGTTGAATGAATGAATGAATGAAATATTCTTTATTGCTCATAAAATTACAGTTAAAATACAATACAGTAACTTAGGTATAAAGATAGTAAGATAATGTGCAACAGACGGCCTTATTCTTACGTAGCAATTTCTTCCAGTCAACCTTAGGATAGAAATTTGGGATATGCAAAAGACCCCTTTTGCAACCAAAGAATATCATAATAACACCAACGGATTTAAATTACTTAAATAATGTATATGATAAATCGCGTAGTTGATCGCGTCATTACTTTTTTTTTCATCCAAAGAAAAAGGTGCACCACAGTCCACCGTCAAGTTCGAATCTCATAAACCTTTTCCACCCTGGCGTGGAACGCTTTCGCGCAGATTTTTAATGAGAAAGAAAGCCTTTCCTAGCTGGTGAGGTGAACACGTATTTTGTTTATCTCGACGTTTCGGACGTATTGCGACGTCCAAGGTCTCGAAGGGACTGAAGTAGGTTTTATACTTATATAAAAAAAAATTAAAATTTAATCCGTGATGAATAAAATCTAACGTAACTTATCTAACTAAAAACGTGTACAAATCGTGATAGTTTAAATCAATGTAGGTGTCATATCCCTAACCCGCACATAACTGGTTTGGTGGACTATGATCTTATTTACTATTTGACCTATGGTATTTACGATACATAATGAAACGTGTTGGCAATCTATCACGAAACAAGCACAAATGGTTGTTCGTTTACTATTTTTAATCATTTGACAACATTCCTGACTGTCTGTGCAAACATAAAACTGGAGAAATCCAGTTCTTTTCAGTTCTATGTTCATTCGATGCATGTTAATAATGTTGCGTAATAATTACTTGTAACTTGTAACAGTATATGGGAAGAGTCCACTTTGCTATCACATAATTCACGAAAAAAAGATTTGACTTAGACTAAAAAAAATGGACGAGCTTGGCAAATTTTTGATATTTACAAAATGAACTTCGCGTAAGTTTAAGCAAGAAATTAAATTAAATTTCTTTGCTTTAATTATAAACTTCTGTCAAGTTCGTTTTTAAATACGAAAATCTCGCTAAGTTGAAGTTCGTTTTATAATCTCAGCCTAAATTTTTAAGATAAAGCACTCTGAATACAAGCAGTTTACCAGCTATTAAAAATATTTTACCTTCCTGTTAAAAGCTGGCAATCAAGCTGTAAAAAGTGTTTATACCTTAATGAAAACTTGTAAAAAATAAAATGCCAAACTTATGCCACGACATAATATTTATATCATCTACTTTTGCAGTCTACGACTTGAAGTATTTGTTTAGAAAAAACACGATAACTTTTATTTATTGTTCTTTAGTTAAGTCTAATATTGTTACAGTGTGAATCCGTGTAGACTTTATAATATAATAATAGGGGTTAAAGTATGAAATTGCCGATTTGTACTGAAAATCTAAATTGTTTATTTTTTAAATATTTAACAAATTTATTTAATCAAAATAGTTGCCATTATTATCTATACATTGCTGCCATCTAATGGGAAGGTTATTAATGCCTTTGCGATAGAACTCCGACGATCTAGACTGCACAAACTGTGTGAAAGCATTTTGTACTGCCTCCTGGGAAGAAAACTTCTTGTCACGTAGATAATTGTCCAAATCACGAAAAAAATGGTAGTCCGTTGGAGCAAGGTCTGGTGAATACGGAGGATGACGAATGGTTTCTAACTGCAGTTCCTGAAGGGTCAAAATGGTTTCTCGTGCTGTGTGAGGTCTCGCGTTGTCGTGGAGCAATAATGGTGAAGATCGATTCATGAGTCGGGGCTGTTTTACTGCTAGTTTTGTCAACATGGTTCGGAGTTCGGCACAATAGACATCTGCCGTTATTGCTTGACCAGATCGGAGAAAACTATAGTGAATAACACCATGCTGAGACCACCAAACAGTTACCATTACCTTTTTATTGGTAAGTTTTGCTTTAGGACACTGTTGTGGCATTTGACCTGGGGTCAGCCATTGCATTTTTCTTTTCCGGTTATCATAAAGAATCCACTTTTCATCACATGTTACAATTCGATCCAATATTCCTTCATTTCTGTACCGGTTCAACAAGGCAACACAAGTTTCAACACGCGTTTCTTTCTGCAGATCAGTCAAATCATGAGGCACCCATTTTTCGTATTTTTTTATTTTATTGATTTGACGCAAGTGAGTCAATATTGTGGGTAAGGTAACGTTAAACCATGCCGCTAATTCCTGGGTAGTTTGACTAGGATCGGCTTCCACTATCTCTCTTAATTCATCGTTATTCACCTGTGTGGGCGGTCTTCCTCGTGACTCGTTCTTTAAGTCGAAATTTCCATCACGAAAGCGTTTAAACCAAAATCGCACGGTGCGTTCATTAGTAGACCCCTCTCCAAACGCAGCATTGATATTGCGGGCTGTTTCTGCCGCGTTAGTTCCGCGTCGGAACTCGTATTCAAAAATCACTCGAATTTTCGCAGTATCCATCTTTCTTGTCTAAATTGAATAACAAAAACAATTGAAAGTCGATATTCAAATGTTTCAAATTTAAAAAAAAAATAACAGAAACCATTTGAAAAAAGTTTCATTCGAAAACCTCAAACCATGAAGATTCTATGAAAATTCAAAGAACCTATTGCAATAAAAAAGCTTTATGTTGTCTTTGGGTGAGCTTAGCGATACGGACAGCTTCGTATCGATAAGCAGTAGTGATAATGATAGCTTTTCTAGTATTCCTTCTCTAGCTGATTCACTCAGTTCATGTTTTTCCGATGTTCCCAATAATTTCAACGTCGTACATATTAACGCACAAAGCATTCCGGCTCATTTCCCAGACATGCTTGCAAACTTTGACTGTAAGAATATCCATGCTATACTTGTTTCCGAATCTTGGCTCAAGCCATGTCTCCCTTCTACCTCTTATTCTTTGCCAGGCTTTCACCTTATTAGGAATGATCGCGCGGTCGGTGGTGGGGGTGGTGTTGCTATATATCTTCGTTCACACATACCGTTCTCGGTAGTTGATATTTCGCCACAGCCCACGACGACTAGCGCGACTGAGCACCTTTTTATTGAGGTGACCCTTCACCGCTTGAAAATCCTCCTAGGAGTCTACTATTCACCATCTTCACGCATTAACTTCTTTTCTTCTTTTGAAAGCAAATTAGAACACCTTATTCCTTCTTACAGTCATGCAATAATTATGGGTGATTTCAACACCTGTCTTCTTAAAAATGATTTCCGATCCTCATCCTTTCGTACTGTTGTACAGTCGAACAATTTGTTCATTCCTTTATTAAATGCTACCCATAATTTTCCAAATTGTACTCCGTCTCTTCTAGACCTTATCATTGTCTCTTCTCCAGAATTTATTGCTCGGCATGGACAATTTCCTGCTGATGTTTTCTCATACCACGATTTAATTTTTCTTTCATATAAAATTCGTCCTCCCAAAGTGAAGCCAAAAGTTCTAATGCTGCGCAATTTTGCTGGTATAAATATGGATAAACTCCGCGAGGATGCCGCCGACATTGATTGGTCGCAACTTCTGAGCTTTAAATCAGTTGATGAGAAACTGGAAAACTTTGTTTCTAGTCTTATACGTTTGTACGATGTGCATGCGCCAGTACGTGCGGTAAAAATGAAGCACCACCCCTCTCCGTGGCTCACTGAGGATATAAAGCGCATCTCTGAACAAAAAGCTGCAGCCAAAAGCAAATATAAGTTCAGGCCTACCACTGTAAACTGGGAAAAATTTGTAAAAATTCGCAATTACTGTAATAAGGTGTGTAGGAATGCACAACGCCAACACGTTCATATGTCTGTTGAGAATGGTGAACCGGCTAAAGTTTGGAAGTTTCTCAGATCGATGGGGGTTGGAAAACAACGTCAATCATCACCATCTAATAATATCGACATTAATCTCTTAAATAAACACTTTTCTTCGACACATTATTTTGATCCTGCTTTGAAATTTAATACTTTGAATCTTCTTTCATCACTTCCAACCCTCGATCACTCACCTTTTTATTTCTGTCAATTGTCCGATTGTGATGTTAGGAAGTGCATTATGTCAATAACCTCCGATGCTGTAGGAAGTGACAGTGTTAGCCGCAAAATGATCCTTCCCATCCTTGATGAGATCATCCCTGTCATTACGCATATTTTCAACCACTCCATTACAACTGGTATCTTTCCAACGTCATGGAAAGAGGCTCAAATTACTCCTTTGCCCAAGAAAGCTAACCCAGTGTCCTTCTCCGAATTTCGACCAATATCTATATTGCCTTTCATGTCTAAAGTCTTTGAGCGCCTTGTCCACAAGCAACTATCCACTTTTCTATGCAAGAATAAGCTCATTAACTCATATCAATCTGGGTTCCGTCCAGGCCACAGTACCACTACAGCATTGGTTAACATTACAGATGACGTTAGGTCCGGTATAGAGCATGGAAAGCTTACGGTTCTTTCTCTGCTCGATTTTAGTAACGCTTTTAATACCGTGGACTTTGATATTCTGCTTGGCATGTTACGCTCTCTTAACGTATCTCCAACGGCAATTGACTGGTTTCACAGTTACCTGAGTGGTCGCCGGCAGCGTGTTCGCATCGAGGATTCCTTTTCTTCTTGGTGTGATATCACTGCCGGGGTCCCTCAGGGTGGCGTGCTATCTCCATTGCTTTTTTCAGTGTTTATTAACTGTATTTCCGTAAAAATAGTTTCGTCCTATCACCTTTACGCAGATGATTTGCAAATTTATTGTCAAGCCTCTCCAGATCATCTTAATAATGCCATTAATGTTATCAACGCTGATTTGGAACATATCAATGACTGGAGCAGGTCTTATGGGTTAAGGGTGAATCCTTCAAAGACACAGGTCATTGTACTTGGTAGCTCAAGTATGACTTCAAAAATACAGTGGTCACATGTCCCACCAATTACGTTTAATGGTGTGAACTTGCCTGTCAGTGATTGCGTTAAGAATTTAGGAGTGCTCATTGATAGAAATCTCAGCTGGGGTCCTCAAATACAAGAAGTAAGTCGCAAAATGTTTGCGTCGGCTGCATCCTTAAGGAGACTTCGAAATTTCCTGCCTATTGCCACTAAAACTTCACTAGCACAATCCCTTCTTTTACCTCTATTAGACTGTGCCGATGTCAGCTACCTCAATCTCACTGAAGAGCAACTGAATAAACTTGAGCGACTCCAAAATTTTAGCATTAGATTCATATTTGGCTTACGTAAATATGATCACGTGTCTGATTTTCGTACTAAACTCAAGTGGTTGCCAATTCGCCTTCGCCGGAATGCTCATACTGTTTCTCTTCTTTACAATATCCTATTTAACCCCACTTCTCCTGCTTATCTTAAAGAGCGTTTTACCTTCCTTCACGAAACTCACTTGCGTGTATTGCGATCATCGGAAAACCTAAAGCTGCAGATACCTATCCATTCTTCGAAAGCTCTAGATAAATCTTTCTCGGTCCAAGCAGCTCGCTTATGGAATGACCTACCGGAAACTATAAGACGTGCCCAATCGCTTGATAAATTTAAACAATTGGTAAAGGAATATTATTTATCACTTAGTTGAAGTATTTATCATCCAAATTCTAAAATATATATAAGTAGTATATTATCATAAGTATATTCTATGTATTGTATATGTATCGATATATATTTAGTATAGTAGTTATGTGTATGTATGTTATTTATGTAGTAAGTTTTTATAAAGATTATTAAGTTCAATTTATGTATCGTTGCTGCTTTGTGCACCATTAGCTGCCCTTCACCTGTATTTAATTAAATTCTATAATAATCTGTAAGGTTGCCTGGTAGAGATCGCTGTTTAGCGATAAGGCCGCCGATTGTACATTTCCATTAACTTATATATTGTAATGTTTCCATTTGTTTTGTGTGCAATAAAGCTTATTTTATTCTATTCTATTCTAAAACGGCAATTTCATACTTTAACCCCTAATATTTAAGCATAAAACTTATCGACGAATTTTGTTCGTAAAATCTCTTGTCTTGAAAAGTTGTCATTTTGATAATGTAACCTAAGAGTACAAATTTATTGTTTATAGTAAAATCTGAAAAGGTGACATTCTACTTTTCGACCCTGATATTATGATAATGATATCAAAAAATGTCTGTCTCTTGACATTACTATTATGTTTATGTAGTTGCAAAAAAAGTAATGACAAGAATCAAAATCTAAGTGGCATGTATAGAGTGAAATTCCTTGCCTCGCGCTTTATCTGTGCATGTTGCAACGTCGACCTCAACATCGCTGCCATCAAGTGAGATAAAGGACAAATACTCATTTACCTATTATATCATAAAAAGAGATAATATAAAAGACACGATGAGGCTAGGTGTCTCAAACTAGGGAATTCAATAAGTAAGTACCAGGGCAATAGAATTTACTCACACAGACGAGAACCAATTTCAAAAAGCTCATTTCCCAAATTGACCCTACCGGGAATTGAACCTGGGTTTTCATCATCCAGCACTCACAGTGCACCGAGTTCGTCGAATTCTATGCATTAACTAAAATGATTATGCATTTTCAGTGCCTTCCGAACTGAAGTAAGAGACAATTATAAATCACCCATCGACCAACCAGATTCAAGGATTCACAACTATGAAGAAGACGCTCAAGCATATTATAAAAAGTCTACAGCCAACTTACAAACAAACACAAAATTTGAGGAATCGTCCATCCGACATTTATATTATAAAACAGAAAACTCACACGTAGGATCAGGAAAGGCTGTGTGTTCTGTTATTGATCAGTATATTGCAAAGAATAAGAGACTTGAATGCAGGTCTAAAAAGAGATCTGAATAATATAATTATGTAATTATCAGATATGGGAGCAGGCAGACTGTATTCACTAAGCTTCGGGTAATACATATAAAGTGTGTAATACTTCTCTCTGAAATTCCGGTATGATTAAAATAAAAAGAAAAATCCAAAACAAAATAATTTTATACTTTCCTTATAAATACATTACGGCAGTAAAGCAATGAATAGTTACACTTTAAAAATATAGAACGATCTACAATACAATAATTGAAGCTTATGTATATTTTCTGTGAGACCGTCCATCTGATGAAAAGCTAAAGCCACCTATAGACATTTGCGGTACTCAGGAATTAACCCAAATGTCTAGTGTTTGTGATTACGCTGTTTCTCCCTGCCCTTTAATCCGGAATCACACAGTGTTGCTTTAAAATAAAGTGGTGGCACCATTGTCATGACAGAAACTAACTGACCTGGTTGTAGTTTCAATAATTGAATAGAAAAAGATGAACATCTATTAAATGATAAGCACGCGGAAGAAACTTATGAAAGCCACAATGCCGCCATAGCGATGAAGCAGTGGTCTGATACCCGAGTCAAGACGAAATAACAAACCGCCCGTAAATGACGCAGCTGTCTTGGCTGTAACAAAATATGATTAATTCTTAAGAAACATTATCCTGTTAATGATATATCATTATTAAGATAATACTTGTTATAATAGTAGAACACTATGTGTATGTATTGTAAATAGATTAGTAGGAAGTCTTTTGCACGTATCTTTATGATGTATTTTCTATGCCAATTGTATTTCGATGCCAACTAGATATTCATTACGACTAATACCCACCGCTGACATTAAACAACTGAGACCAAATAAAGTGACTTTCATAAAACGCTTTTGTTCACATCTTCATATATTATTAAGGCTATTCACGATGTTCATGGTCCCAAAGAAACACGATGTTGTAAGTACTCTTTTAAATAGAATATAAAATATTGTAATAAAAGTGTACTGAAGTTTTCAATTTCCTATAATACCCTTATGTTTGTAGGAATTACTATTTACTTAAATAGATCGAAAAATACCAGCACGTTTGTGTTTGTGCTAGTATTATCAATATACGATTTCTGTCTCTCTCACACACACACTGTCTGTCTGATTTAAGATTATAAGCATTAATTCCACACATTTGGTACAAAAATATATTCTAATAAGACAAGCATTATATTCAGGATCCTGAACTATTGCAAAGGCAAAAAAACAAAGCGAAGTTTCGGTTTAGAGCTTTGATACGAGCTGTGATGGCCAACATTTACTGGCTGGAGGAGAGTGCTGAAGTATATGAAGGTGATAATGTACAGAGACGAGTAGAGCAGGTGATGAAGGGCAAGCACAAGAAGAAACAACTTCTCTCTGTTGCCGTTAGTAATTTTCAGTCCGTTCTCATGTAGGTTTATATAGACAGATCTATCTAGTCTATCAGAAAATTTCAAATATAATTTGGAAGTAAATTAGTATCTATACCAAAAAAAAGTTCATAAAAGCACTCACTTTTGAATTTCAGGACAAAGCTCTTTTGAACAAACCAGCGAAAGACCGCACAGAGCAAGAACAAAGATACATTTATCGTGTGATCGGTGGTTTAAAATGTTTCAAACGCTACCCTAATGTAAGTACACAATCATCATCGCCATATTACGTATTAAAGATCTCTCTTCACCCTGCTCTAGCTTGTAAGACGCTCGCATCTTACAAGTCAGACTTTTTTCCCCTCGGGGAAAACGCATAAAACCTTTAAGAATTTTTCTCTCCTAGCACCTCGCAAACCACGTTAGGGTCATTTTATTTTGGTTAACTATGGTATAAGGTATGGTGTGACTTGCTGGTGAGCGCAACTCGACATCTGTGCTCTTTTATTGAGTGTGGTGCATACAATATCCTAATCGTGTCACCCGCGCTCCTCCAGGAACCCTCCTGGGTCTGCTCAAGAGTCTTTAAGCAGCTTTTAACAACCTCGGCACTAAAAGGTATTTCACCCTGTAGTTGATTACGCTGACGTTTTCTACCCCTCCTTATACGCTCTGCGTAGAGGGTCGTCCGTGTCACCAACCTTGAAAATTAGCTTATTTTATGGAACTTAAGCTGTTGGATTGGCAGTTAGTGCCCCTAACTTGCCTCTTGAGCTTCAAAAATTGTCGGGATAGACTGACGTTGAGCTTGGGGAGTTCTTGCTATGAAAAGCTTTGTACTTTTGTGTATAGTTGCTCTTGACCGTTGGAGATAACTGAGAGTTTATCTCTCTGAGAGGTCTCTACAATCAGATCAAAATGTAGTTATATATTCAGGCGACAACAAATGATTTGTTTTATAGCATGTGAAGAGAAAGTTAGCAGCAGTAACATACTTCAAATATTACGGTCCGAAACGAGTCGTGGTCCGCGAACAACAAGAAGCTGAAGCTTTATACTTCGTTGTGACCGGCGAAGTTACCGTGAGCAAATTGATATACGATCCGTTGCTGCAGCAGAACATGTCTGTTGACGTCTTTGTATTTCGTCCTGGCGACATGTTTGGAGAAGTTTCTCTTTTGCATAACATTCCAAGAACTGCCACTTGCACTACTACTAGTTAGTGATTAACCATAAGTATATAACGCTGAATCTGGATCCGAAATTTATAACGCTTCTAAATGGTATAATTCTAAACATGATCCAATTAGAATGTTATTTACCGTCGAAACGACAAAATGTCTAAAATCTCATTTTTTTATCATGACAGAGCTTTATGAATAACGGATCAGGATCATAAAAAAATAATAGTTTTATTTGAGGCTCGGCACACTTATCAACTTTTAATAAATGGGGAGTTAATATGACTGAAGAACATCGGAATAAAATAACGATGATGATGTTTAAAGTAAATGTCGATTACAGTTATAGGAGCTGGTTTTTCCTTAACGGTGTAAGCAATTGATCATATCAGTGCTTTCTAGTGACAAATATAACTAACTATTTCCGTGTTGATGATCTTCCAAATAATTTATAGCCTCGTGTTTATAATTTAGTCTTTTAGATAAATCATTGCAATTGCAAAATATAAAGTAAAAACGAATAATAATTGAATGCTTATCCTTAGTCTTCCAACCCTGGTCGTAATATAATATGATGAATCATTGGATACTAACAGAGATAAAACTGTTATATACCTTAAAAGCCTATATATGCCTTGCTTTCTTATAAAATTTTCAGTAGGCTAGTGGAGTAAAGCAATATTGATCAAACAAAACGTAGCAACAAATGGTTAACGTTATCGGAAACAATTAAATGAATTAATAAAACATATATTTTGACAAACACTAGGTCATTGTGAGTTCCTTGCCTTAATGAAAGAAGACTTCAAGAATATACTCCAAGGTTCGCTGCAGAAGCAATGGGATAAAGTGCGGAAAGCAATGGATTCGTTCTCTTACTTTGACGGTCTTGATTCGGTAAACGATTATATTAGAAATTATTTTACATGATAGTAGTTACAAAAGTTGTTGTAACTCATGATGATCTTATCATGACTAACAGGTTGAATGTTAAGCACTTACAGATATAACACCAAAACTTAAAGAATTTTAACAAGCTTTCATACTTGAGGCTTAATGAAGTGCTTACTATGGTCCATTGAAAACCAGCATCACAGATCATTGAGATCATTTTGCATACGCCAAAGCTGCACACAGGACTCTATAGTATCAAGTTACATAATAACAATTGTTGTTTAAATGTTTACCACGCTGTTTCTTGGTTTATTTTTGTTTTTCCCATAATTTATATTTCTTTTTGTACAAAAGTGCTTCTATCCAACCTATCTTCAAAACTTTCTGATTTATTTGAAATATTACTAGTACAACTTAAAAATTGATTAATATTTAAGTATGTAGCTTAAAGCTATTGACTTTTAAAGTTAATTTTAGAGAAATCCTGACTATGTAAATCACACACGTGAGTCACAGAACGGACTTACGTAGCCTTTTTGTTTTACCAAGGTTGCACGGCGAGACGGTTGTATTATAGCAAAGTTGAAATCATACGAGCCAAACGAAACAATCCTGGGAGACGGCGTCGAAGTACCTAACTTCGTCTACTTTGTACTATCCGGCCGCTGCCAGATGATAGAATCCCTTAATGTTCAAATTATTAATGACGTTAAAAAGAAGCGTTATAAACTATACGATGATTATGTGAGTTTCATTGGTTAACTATCAATTTTTCGTGCAGTGCTTGTGGTTCTTAACTAAAAACTGTATTATCAAAGATTAATATAATGTTACTTGTTTCTTTCAGGTATCTCCACAGGAATCTGAACAAAACCTTAATGAAAAATATTTTCAGCACTTATCAAAACCTAAACAAGAAAAATTAGACTCATTTGATGAGCAATCCACACACGCAGAATCCGTAGAACCCGAAGAACAAATAAACACTGAGAAAACCACTCAGTCAGAAACACAAATAGATGCCAAATCTATTGAACCTCATAAAACTGAACACAAATTGGTAAGGCTAGAATCACAACCGTCTGACAGTGGTAACGTAAAACTTTTAACGTCTGCATCCAAAAAAGTCTTTGATATAGAAGAAGTTAACCCGGAGTCCAGTGATATAAAGAGCCGTATAACCACATCAACCAACTCCAAATGTACGCTTAATTTTGTTAATGCTGCTTCTAAAGCTAAAATCCATGAAGAATCAGAGGCAAAAAGGTACGGATTTTCCAAGTTTCTTCTTTTAGTTGCACGGGGAAGTCAGCAAATATTTCTTTTTGACGAGTCAGAAAAATTATGTACTTTATAAATACTCGTATTCCATAACTTCACACACGTTGCTCTAATCCCAAAGTAAGTAGCAAAAGCACTTGTGTTATGGAAATCGGAAAGAACGACGTCAAGAACGATGGTATCACAAACGCCCAAACCAGTGACAATACAGAAAAGTGAGTTTTCTACATTGACTCGGCTGGGGATCGAACCCGAGACCTCAGAGATGGCGACACCATGAAAACCGGTGTGCAAGCCACTCGACCACGGAGGGCGTCGTATAATGAAGTAACAAATTATTTTATAGTATATTCGATGATATGAGTTGCACCGAGTAGACTGGACAACAGCAATAACCACCGCGTCATATATAGACCGTCCTAATGCTAAAATCTAAACAAAGGGATATTTAAATTTATGTTTCCATTTTAGATCTATTAATCCAATAAAGGAGCCTTCTGTTTTGTTTGCACTGGGTCCACCACCTTATAAAACATATTTCATGCAGGTAATAAAAATCAAAACAATCTTGTTATGAAAAATAAATGCTTAGTATTATTAAGGATACATACTAGAAGCCTATTATGTACACCACGACACCATTAGACATTTGGATCCTGTATTATATGATGCTGTGTTAGATAGATATATTCATTGATAATAGATATGACTTTTAGGGTTTATATTAGGTTGGTTATAGTGGTTACTATTTACAGGTTTGCTTAATGACTTGGGGATCAACGTTCAATTTGGGAGAAAACATGCGAGATCGACGTATCATCGCACAGACTCAAGTGGACTGTATGCTGCTGCCCAAAATGTGGTTGATGCAACAAAATACTGCTAACGTTTGGTCTAGGATTTTACACTATCTTGAGAAGAAGGTTTGTTCTTTGCTATATTCATCCCTAAAGGTCATTTTTTTGGTAAGAATCACAGAGACAGATGGTATTTACTAAGTACATGAAGCCTAGCACAAAATAATTTACTGTTTTCAAAGAGTTTTCTTATTTTACGTCTGCTTGTGCAATTTCTGAAAGTAGAATTGTCGTTTGTTTTGCAGATTAGGTGTATAACAAGGCTCTAGCATTGCATTTTATTAACCGATTTCAAAAAAGAAGGAGGTTCTCAATTTGTCTGTATTTTTGTATGTGTTACGCTATCACTCCGACATTTGCGAACCGATTTCGATGATACTTTTGTTGTTGGAAAGAGGGTGCCTCAGTAGTGGTCACAGACAGAGATCTAGATAGACGCCGCAAGTACAGCAATTTGTATGAAAACCGAGCGTGCCACATTTTATGTATCCACCATGACGTCACAAGAACTATTTCGTGATGGGAAACCTCCTTCCGCGCTAAATCGATTGATTGAACGGAATACATTCAATGAATCGATTCAAGTATTCGTTGATTGCAAGTAGTCGTAATACAGTAAAAAAATATATAAATAAATAATATAAGCTTCTTATGTAACTGTCTTTTTGTAATAGAAGATCTTATCGATTGACTTAAATAATGAAAACGCACTTCAATATATGAACTTGCAACTGCCTTAATCAAATTTACTAGATGGTTTTCCGTCGGTGATTGATCAAATTGGTGAATGGCAAGACAATTGAAAATGTTACTGCTGACAAAATATCTAAAATCTTACTAAAGTAACTTAAGGTTTACTTAATGTCGGCCTCGTGTAAAGATTTTGTGATTTGATAATGATTTCTCAGATTTCTAACTCTGCTACTCTGCATATTTGGATAGTATCTTTGGTGGGATAAACTAGACCACCTTCGTCCTTGTTCTGAAGAGTAGAAGCGCCAACTAAGTGTTTTCCGATCGATTGAGTGAACGGAATACGCGTAAACACGCGTTTCCATTCAATTAATCGCACACACACACACTCAACATCGATTCTAAATAGAATAATTTTTGTTCAAGTACTCGTATTTGTTGATTACAAGCAGTCGTAATATTAATGTAGTAGAAAAATACTAAAATAGGATAGTTCAGTCCTTTATTTTACTTAAAACAAAATTAAGACTTTACTTTTTAATCGACTTCAAATATTAAAATTATTGTCCTTCCAGTGAAATGGGCTTATTATATAACATCGTTTTGTAATAGAAAATCTTATCGATTAACTTAAATAATGAAAACGCACCTCAATGTATGAACTTGCGACTGTCTTAATTAATTTTATTAGATGGTTTTCTGTTGGTAATTGATGAAATTGATAAATGGCAAGACAAATGAGAATGTTACTACTGACAAAATATGGTAACATCTTATTTATCAGAAGAGGTTTACTTAATGATGGCCTCGTGTGAAATTTTTGTTATTATTTTGTTTATTATTTCTCGGATTTCTAACTCTGCTACTCTGCATATTTGAATAGTATCTTAGGTAGAAGAAACTAAACCACCTTCGTCCTCGAAAGCAACGAACTCATACGTATGACCAACTCCAGGTTTTTGTAAAGACAGCGCACTGTTAATTCTTTGCATTATATATTTTTTTGTATTTGTTCGTAATAATTAAATAATAGTAATAATTCATAAGTAATTATTTGCTCACTATATTCGGACATTCGAGGCAACGTGCTGCACAAATTATCGAAATTACGGATACTACTGATAACAGATATTGCAAAACTGAAAAAAAAAACGAAACGTTACTAAACGTTATAACAAAAGAGTTATAGAATATTTTTATGATATTGCTAAGGTCATAATAATTTTCGTCCCTTTGTTTTCAAAATCGACCAGAATCGAGAACAGTGTTGCCTAACGTACACATCACTAAATGTTAAATTTGGCCAAAACAATGTACAAGCGGCCGTACCACAGAAACTGAATGCATTATGCAAAAGTACGTTCGTTCGATATTCATGACGTATTAACAAAGGATCACAAATATATCGCACTAAGTAAAAGTCGCAATGTATTACAAATCATGAGGCATACACTGATTTGCATATTTGTTTTCTCGAAATTTATACAAACCAAAATAATTGTTTTTAAAATAAATTATACATCTTTTGATTACAAAATCACTTGCCCATGGAAGGAAACGTCTCTGTTACCCCTTTACCCACAGTTATGGTGCTTTTGCAATTTATAATGGCACAATTATGCATTTTTCGCGTTTTCTACGATACGATAACAGTCGAGCGCGTTTTGAAGAGTAGCAGCGGCAAGTAAGTGAATTTCACTTACTTTGGGCACGCGAAGTACGTACACTTGCGGCGTCTATTTAGATATATATCTGTGGTAGTGGTACATCTAAATATGAAGAAAATATTCCACTTCTAAGGGCGGATAATTAGAGGGTGAATCTGCTTTATAGGATTTTACCCAGTTTCCGAACCGATTTCAATAAACCTTGGCAAATACTTAGATAACACAAACTGAATGATGATGGTAGTGCTTATTTTTGTTTTGCCGGTTTTTGGAGCGGTTATACGCGTCTTGGTCACGGGTTGACTTCCCAGCGGCAGATGATAGCTTTAAGAGCAGACATATCTGTCTACCCTCTTTCGCTGTCGATGACTACCTTCAATTCGATTACTTGTGGCGTCACCATTGTTACACAGTTTTTCCGACAGACCACGCTCACTGTTTCCACACATGAAACTGAAGTCGAAGCATTTTTGTTTTTATTATTATAAGCACTAAGCACCGGATTCCATGTACTGGATAGTTTAAATCCATCTTCACGGTCAAACGTTTGGTACTTTGTGATTTCGATGACTTCTCGCACCAAACGTGGTATGTAGTGACGTTCCGTCGACAGTACTTGGGGGCTATGCAGCTCGATCCAATAGTATCATTTTGTGTAAGATAATCATAGTGATAATCATTTATTGAATAACCACGAAAGCCTTAATAAATCTGTATTCCACAAACTTTTGAGTTCAGTTTAAAAAAAAAATATACATGTTATTCCACTGTTTTGTAACACCAATTTTATATCCAATATATTGCAGATACCATCGAAACAAGATTTATTTAAAGAGTTTGTGAAGCAGCGACGATGGCAAGAATACCGTAACAGTGTAGTCGAAGATGTGGTGTACCGCTCTAATGTCGTGAATTACACTACTGTGCACGACGTGCCTTATTCCATCCGAATGGACGAGATGCTTGATATTTAATAGCTTCCTGTATTCGACATAGTTCTTTTCAATGTGATTAAGCACTTTATTGCTCATATAATAGGTATCCTTATTGGAAAATGTAAATTTAGAAAAGTACTTTGAACAATATACGTATGCACTTATGATCAGGGATCGGAATAGGTGGAATATTTTTACCTAAACTTCGAGGAACATAGACAAAAAAAGAGGACTGTCTTACGATAATATTTTTTAGGTCCAAGGGGCCTACCACAAGCTCTTAAAACAATATTACTTTAAACTTACATTGACTTTTTGTACCATAACCATTGACTTACAATTATATGGACGTCGGGTCCGCGCTAAAAAGTGTCCGAACTTATAGAGCGTTAAAATCGTATACAGACCGTCATTCACGCTTTAGTCTTCGTTTGTTCGACTGACAGCGAAGCAAGCAAAATTAGACAGTACTGCGATGACATTTCAATTCAACGTTTTAGCTTTTTCATATTCCTTTACATGTCACTACGTTTAAATAGGTTGACTTGGGACATTTTTTTCCTGGTTTTTGTATTAGACCCGACATTCATTTATTTGTAAGTCAATGACCATAACGCGCTTAAAGTAACCTTATTGTTATGTTAAATCTATGATGTTTTGTTGACAGCTTTGTGACTGAATGAATAGTCACAGTTCGTACTATGACGCGACTTTAACATTAAAGTAATATTGCTCTTAAGTCAAATTTAGCAATCTTAAAATAGTTACACGGATCACGGATGCAATGGAAACAATATTATTTTCAATTATATTGTCTTAATATTGATTTGAAATGATTGAAAGTTAGGTTGAACTTATTTATTTACATATATCTCTTCAATATATTTTTTTAATTTAATAGCGCATAGTAAATAATTTTTCGTTAAATAAAAATACGCCATGTTTATTTCGAAAAATTATAACAGCGTTATTTATATGATCCTACGCAAAACTAACATTTGACACTAGACTATAGTTCCGAACTCACAACATGACTATCAAGACTCAGCTTGTTTTATTTATTTTTCTTCATGAAAATGCGCAATGAGTATTGAAAACAACGTAATTTTAATAGATTTTATTATTACATATTTTTCTTTTCTTAGCAGTCACAATTCTCTGAATGTGAATAACATTAAGTACTTAAACATTATACTACGATAAGACGATTCGGAACATCAAAACAGTAAGAGATGGCAGTATATAGTTGACATAGCGTTATCTCTTTCCTATTTTTAGTAAGGAAGAGACAATATTGGGAAATTATTCGTTCTTTCAATCACTTTAGCAATAATACAATACTTGGTTAACAGGTTCGTCATGGTACGAATATGAGTAATATTATAATAATAAGCTTACTTTAAGCTTACATAGAAATAAGATTGTTTTTGGAAAGGTTATGGTAGGCCCCCTGCACCTTTTCTGAATTCGGGAAATCACTTGAGAACATTAAAAATTGACGTATTTGGGGACAGGCAGGCACTATATTTATCTTAACTTTGCGACGCACATTGGGCCGGATCTGCGATATTGCGGACATTGATTTTTTTCACGACACCTCTCTATCGTGTAAAAAAATCTAAATATAGAAAAAAAATATTTAAATAAGCATCATAAGTTGCTTATGATACTTATTTAAATTTTACTACAAGCAATAAAATACATCATAGCAAAAATAGAAAAAGAAATATGGTAAGGTAGGGACAGCGATATAAAGCGCGACATATTGCAATTCTCGCATAGAGATATCGCACTATATGTAGCTCTCGCACAAGTCGCGTCCCACCTTGCTAGCCATACAGATGCCAGTGACCGGCAAGCACTGTTCAACATAATTTTTTTAATTAATTTCTAATAAGATTTAGGCCAAATTTTCTATCGTATTAACACATTTCTCATTGGTAAGTGTCAGTTACTGGGTGTTCATTATTGGTGGATTTTTTGGTGTTCATTACTGGAGATTTAGGCTCAAGTCACACTGGCGCAGAGTCGAAGCCTCGCGTCGCGTCCTGTATTTCAACTGCAACGCCTGACGACGCGCCCCGACCCCCGCATTGGTGCGCCCAGATCACTGTGTGGTCGGCGTCTGACGCCTCACTGCGCTCAAGTAACGCGCGCGAAGCCGCTCGACTGCAACCAAGTGTCAACGCGCGACTCTATATTTGCATAACACAAATTTGTACCTTAATAATGGGAAAATAGTGATGAATATGTTATAGACGAAAAACATGACGCACAGCGACGCTTCGACTCTGCGCCAGTGTGAGTTGAGCCTTAGAGAAATGCTAGATTGGGTTTTTTTTAGTAATAATTATAATAGCTTTATTTATGAAACTGATTACTACAGCCATTGACTTTTTGTAAGTCAATGACTACAGCATAATCTTTTTTGAGAATTGTAACTTAAGTAAAACAATCACTATTGATATATGTTTAAAAACACAAAAGTTATTTCAAATTTAAAGATATACATCCCTTAAATGTCGATAATTGGTACCATTACTCTATAATGTTCCGTACGTCGTGATATCTAAGATACTTTTCCTATGTCGAAATTCTAATTAACACCATTTTTTTGCGATAACAATTGATCTGCAATAATAAATCAGTTTAATTGTATTATTATTAATCATTTTTATAAGAAACTTCATTTTTATCGCTTTTCAGTTTTCAAATATGTTCAATTTATTATTAACAATATTTAATTGTAATTTATTGAACTGTTGATTATATTGTGTGTTATACTTAATCTAGTTGTTTCATTTTAAGTTTTAACTTTAGTCTTTAAGTGGTTAAGTAAATTATTAGCTTATTTGAAAATATCTTCGATTTTCTTGTTACTTTACAATGATGTCAACATAGATAGGATTACTTAACTCATACTCATATTTAACTTTTATGAATACACTTTGATTCTTATCTGTTTTAACCGACTTCAAAAGAAGGAGGAAGTTCTCAAATCGACTGTTTTTGACACATTTGTGAACCGAATTTGAAGATTCTCTTTTTGTTGAAAAAAGGGTACCGGGTAGGGTAAGGTTCTAGCAAATGAAAGGGGACGAAGGAAGCTTTTGTTACGCACCACCACCACCGTCCACATAGACATGCTGCATTTGCTCGATTTCGCTACGCCATTGTGGTTCAAACCAGCTACAAAAAAAGAGAAAAATAAAGAAAACTAATAATAATAATAACGCACACACTCAACATAACCCCGCACTAGGGAAACCCTATGTCGCGGGTGCCATGGACTCACGCATAGACAACCACAAATTACACTCAAACTCACGAGAAAAATAAATGTAGGCTTACAAATATTTCTTCCGGCCCGGGAATCGAACCTGGGACCTGTGCGTGGCAGTCCAGCATGGTAACCTTTCGGCCAAGGAGGCAATCAAATAGGTGAATGATGTTTGTTTAATTTTATTCCTGATCCTTACTTTTGGGCAACTGAGTATATACTTTTTTTGTTTTTCAACAAAAGACTCAAATCTTGAGCAGTAAATGACTGATTTATTTAATACTGTTTAGAAACACTATAATAACGTAAACTTCAACGATATGTAATTAAACCGATCTTCGTAATTCAATGGATTAGTTGTGATCTTGAACTCCACGACTTGCATGTTACTTGATTTTCTCGTTGGTATCTTGAACCGTAAAGATGTTTATGTATTCTTTATGTTTTCCGGCCAGCACGTAATTTCAACACAATTGCGATCAACATTGCGACAATGAGTCGAAAATGGCGTAGTTAGATAAAGGAGAGTAACAATTAGGGAAGCTTCGAACAGAAAGTAGGGCAATTGAGGTGAAAGAATTTTGGGTTATTTTGAGGTAGTAAAGCCAGAAGTTGAGACAAGAGGGCACTTGCGTGGATGTTTAAGTGTAACTGCTAGTCTTGGGTACGCAAAGCAGTAGTAGGAGAATAGTAGGAGAAAGGAGTTGGGGTTTTTTTAATAATTTTAATTTATTTATATTTATTTAGAAGCAGCGTTTGTAAAGTAACTACCTATGGGCAGTTGCGTGGGCGGGAGACAGGTGGACACTCAGGTGGAGGACATCCCAGTCGACGACAGGAGGCACGGGGACCACAAGGTGGAGGAAGGCAACAAGTGGCAGGAGGATAAGGTAGCGAATGACAGCAAGTCTTGGGTGCGCAAGGCACTGGGGACTTTACGGGAGGACAACATGGTGTTTTTTTGACTGAGCTGTTATAAGTAAGAGATTGTAAAGGGAATTTCGGTGTGCAATCGGGTGGGAGTGGACATGTTGAGTGTGGTCTATATGAGGATTGAGTACCACAAAGTGGGGGAAGACAACACGCAGCCGGGGGACAATGCGGTGGATGGTAGCAAGTCTTAGGTACGCAAGATGTAATTGGTGACTCTATGGAAGGACAGATTGGAGTTGCTTTGACAGAATTAAAGCAAGAGTGGGATTGTGTAGGAAATCCCGATGTGCAAATGGGTGGAGGTGAAAACTGTGGACACTTCTGTGGTTGTGATACCAGTTGGTTCCATAAGGAACGATGACCACACCGTGGCGGGATAGAACAAGTGGTAGGAGGCAGCGAATGGCAGTAGGTCTTGGGTACACAAGGCATATTGGTAGGTAACAGAAATAAATCTTCTTTGTTGATGTGAACTTTCTTCTTATAGGAGGACTAGAATGCTTGAGGTTGGTAGTTGAATACTTGAATTTTATTGAATACTTTAATTTTAATTGTTGAAACGACTTGTTGCTTGTGATTGTGACTATATGATTGTTGGACTTATTAAAAATGCACTAGATAATTTACTAAGTTCCATGGTTTTGTTAACGCATTTTATTGTATTATTTCACAAATAATTTTCCACTTTTACATACTTGAATACATGAATTTCTCTGTCTATGACTGAGCCCACTAATCAAAAATAACTAAAGGTCAACACACAGCGCCAGACAAACCTAATTGCAACCACGTTTACGGTCTCCGTCCGTTTTAATTCAAGCCAAAACCCCATAAGACGGAATATCGAGGATGAGAAATAAAATTATTCTTAAATTTAGTAAAAACTCGTCTACATTAGTCCGTGTAATGCGCATCCGGGCACTTAGTGTAACGGACTACACTCCAACTTATGCACGCTTCGTCAGCGCCATGCATCACAAAAATGAATTACATGAGTATAGGAGTGGTGAAGTGTAGCTCCATGCTCACTGTGACCTGAACGATCCATTGTGTCTCGATAATATAACCCTTGATTATGACTATCAAAATGGCCAATAGCGTGATATTCGAGACTGGTGTCGATCTCCTTGATACATACAAAGACGAAATAGCACTTTCCCGATGAGTTACTACGTCCGTAAAGTCCGTAATCCGAAAGGTCCTGACCCGAGACAGTGCGGACAAACCTTTAAGTTGTTACTTATTTACAGCGAAGCCACATTGATTTCTAAACGTTTTTAAATTACAAAACCACGTCACATAATGTCATTTCAGATGTACGTCAAAACTATGTCAAATAATTATTTTTGAATCACGATGGACCTAAAACCGCTAAAGTGAAGTGAATGGTTTTTGAAAATTATTTATTTTGTTTAAAAAAAATGCACAGACGCGGCTATCAAAATGTTTATAAAATATAAATGGAAATAGCATATTTCGTGATAATAATACTATTGGCGTCATATATATTATACTTAATATCGCCTTATTGGATCGTCATACTTTCTTTCGTTATTATTTTTACAATTTACTCGCAAATATGTATGATATTTTGACCTTAGCAATTGCATGTGGACGTATTTCAAATGTTTATTTTGAACGGTGCAAGGTAAATTCTACGTTATGCACATGCATTAAGTATCTACTGTCATGTTCACCATTAGAAATCGCATATGTAAAAGGTGTGACCAGAATCATCTTCTTCTCATTGACTAGAGTTGCCTGTTTACAAATGTCTTAAAAATAATATGGTTGTTAAAATGTTTATCTGGTTTGTTTATTTAACTTGAATCTTAACACTGATTGTACAGAGGCTGTAATTTTTGGTGACGGGCACAGTGGCAGTTCCCCTCAGATCTTTGCCAATTAAAGCTTGGTACTGCAACTGCTATGGACAGGCATGTCACTCACCACCAGGCGCACGACTTATTCGTCCCGTCACTTGATATCATGAAAAAATACAAATTATTTTTCGCTTTTGTGGCTTTTCTCTATATATATATGTATATATATCGTGAATATTAAACTTTAACATCTATTGCAGTCGTAGGTGAGACGATCTTGATTAATTTGACGGGTGGGAAATCTCTAAAAACAGGGAACGCTGGACGCTTTAGGGAGAAACCTTTTCCCAGAAGTGGAACACTATAGGTCAAAAAAATTCTGAGTGTTGCGACCCCAGTCTTAAAGAATCCTGGGAATTGAACCCGAGACCTCTGCGTGGCTGTCCACCAGGATAACCGTTGGACCACTGAGGCAGTTTGAAATGTTAAGTGACTTCTGAGCCACTTTACATTTCAAATTGCCTCCGTATAATATTGTATGAGTCTGCCCAGACAATGTTATACCCATATGATCACGTAAACACCAAGTATATGTCATTATAATGAAAATATTGCATTCAAATTTAGCGCTATATATTATACATGATCATAGCGTATCTAGAAAAATACGTTTTTCATAGAAAACTGAAGGCATACTTGTTTAGGCCTAAAGCATGTCATTGAGCGTTTAGGTATTTTTTCTATTGTAGTTTTAGGCGATTATAAGTATGTTTAATTAATTTCTTATATTACCTATTTTGATCACTCCAAACATCTACTTTAACAGCCTGTAAAACATATAAAACAAACAATGAAACTTTTTTTCGGATCTGAATAGCGTATAATTGTTTTTTCAAACAAACCAACGTTCCGGCCCCTTTACAGGTCCCATGATCACGGGTGACTGTAATGGGACCTGTAAAGGGACAGAAACGTTGATTTGTTAAAAATAGTTTTATTTCCTATAAGTAACAATCGTCAAAACCTAAGAACTCGATAATTCATAATATAAAAACTTACATTACGCATTATATGTACAAGTTACAGTTATTCACATGTTTCTATTCATATACCTGTAGTTTAAACAGGTGTAGAACAGTACGTATAGCCTCTCGTTGAAAGCAAGACACGTATTGAAAACTAACCACAATATTAAATAATAGTTAAAGTTAGGGAATAAAACTGCGTAAACTAAAAAATAATGTTTTTAAAATCTATATTGTATATAGAAACTTAATGTTTTTTTATGAAATTACCTAGTGGATACTAAATAAAAACGAAAATGGAAAAATTGAAAACTTTATTGACGGTGTTTGTGGCAATGAATATCTATTACGTGTTTGGAACAACGATACAACCAAAAAGAAAGGTACGAATTCCTACTCTCTTGTAATTGTTTTACATTCATATTAGAATTTAATACTAAAATACTACGACGAGGACACCCTCGTAACTATTTCGAAAAGGTTATTAGATCTTTTTCGTACATTGATACAGTATCATGTACCTTAAATACAAATAGTGGCATTCAAATGTTAATTTTTCATAACTAAACATTTAATGAAGTCACAAATTATTCGAATAAATAAATTGTAAAATTTAAATTTTTATTGACTTGATATTCAATTATTTTTTATGTGAAATTACTCCACTAGTTTGTTATAATATCTTTCCAAGTGTTCGATCTTTGTATTGATCGACAATTGTAAATTATTCGAAAAAACAAACTTGTGAATTAATTATCAAATTTCAAGAAAGGGTTCCGGGGCTTCATATGAAATTTCTCTGTATGTTCAAGGAACTCCCGATTATAATATATAAAATATTTACATAATGATACAGATGCATAAATTCATACAGATCTATCGTATTTAGTAAAATTTTGTAGTAGGTTTAGGCAGATTATTATTTTAACTATTACAGGTTCAATTATTATTTAAATATGAATAAAAAGAGATATATAAATAATCAAGAATATTAATCGATAGAGTTAGAAGAATTGGCGAGGATATGGGTTATATTTTTCTGTATTTAATA